AATTGTTAGAGTGCCAATAAAACTTTACTAAAAAAATAAATTCTTATTTTAGCATGAAAATAGTTTTAAACTTGGGATGAAAATCTCAAAAAACTCTTCTACTTTAATATTTACCACTATACTACAATAAATTTTTAGGAAAATAGGACCCTAAAATTATATAATATTATCCGGAACCCTAGACAAGTGTCTTTTTAAATATATGGTAGGCATGACATTGTTTATATCTTACCGCTTCTTTGGAGCTCGTCCATTCGTTGGGTGATCCCTTGCTCGGTTCATTACTAAGATGGGGCACTGCCAAGGGAGTGAGGGCTTGAGCACTTGCTGAAGTGCCGGTTCTTCCAAGATTCCTTTGCATTTCTCGTGGATGAACTACTTTCTTTTAGTTTTCGCTTTGACTTTTCCATAATTCCATTTTTGAATTAAGAGGCAAGGAGGTGACATAGATAATAAATATATAGGAGTTAATATCATTCCAATTTTCTTTTAGCAACAAAATAATAATAATATTGGGTATAATACATTAATTTAGCTTTTCTTGGTTTAAATTTTCATATTTTATTTTGACACTATTAACCACTTATACTATTAATTTTATTTACAAACCCTTAGATCTTTTTTTTTGTTGCTAACCAAAAAATATTAACAAACACTTAGATCTTGAGAGGCACGTTTATATATATGCGCTAGGGTTCGTCTATATTTTTAGGGTTTGAGGGAAGCAATAGGATACACAATCTTCTTCAATTTCAATGAATGGAGAAGAAGAAATCCCAAAATCTATCCCGTTCGATCTCATCATCCAGTTACTCACGAGATTACCGGCCAAGTCCATAGCGAGATTTCGTTGCTTATCAAAGCTATGTGATTCTAAACTTCGTGGTACAAATTTCACAGACTCGTTCTTCACCATATCTATGTCTCGACCGAAACTATTGTTCACCTGCCTAAAAGACGACAAAACGTTCTTCTTCTCATCACCACAGCCTCAAAATTCGTCTCCTTTAGTTTCAGATGAGTATTCCAAGCGACTGTCCCAGTTTCATTTGTCGTCCTGTTCGTGCTTTGGTATGTGGTTTTAAATGAACCACCTTTTAAGAGAACAGTTTCTGTGCCGTTGATATGTAACCCTAGCTCTGGACAGTTATTTACCTTACCCAAAATGGAATGGAGTACTAGGGAAGTGTCGAAAATTTGTTTAGGGTATGATCCAATTGAGAAACAATTTAAAGTATTGTGTAGAACCGTGATATCTATTGGATGCTCTTTTGAAAAGTATCAAGTTCTAACATTAGGAATTGGGAAAAAGCTGTCATGTAGAATGATCAAATGTGACATACCACATTATCCTCTCGCTGTGGATTATAGAAAT